ACCTCTAAAGGAATTATAGAACCAGAAATCCTAGATGTCATCTTTAAAGGAATTATAAAACCAGAAATTTTGGACATCACCTTTAAAGGAATTATGGTCCCGGTACCAAAAACCTGGACGTAACCTTTAAAGGAATTATATTTATAGAAGTAGAAATCTGGACATCTAATCTGATGAAAATAAATTACACTGTTTAAATCTCAAGAAAAACAAATTATAACAAACCAGAAATTCTGGACATCACCCTTTAAAGGAATTATAGAACCAGAAACCTGGACGTCACTTTTTAAGGAATTGTCTATCAAGCTGAACATCACCTTTAAAGAAGCTACAGAACCACAGATCATAGACATTAGTTTAAACAATATTTTATTCAATAAACTGAAATGGATTGAACAACAGGCAAAGGCCTATATAAGTTCTCTCCCTTTAAAGTAACTACAGAACCACAGATCATAGACATTATCTTTAAAGTAACTACAGAACCATAGATCATGGACATTACCTTTAAAGTAACTACAGAACCTTTAATGGAATTGTTGTAAAACCAGAAATCCTGGATGTCTAATTTGATGAAAACGAATTACACTGTTTTCACTGTGAGAAAAACAAACACCTGTATATATAGATTACACGACACCAAAACCAATTCGAACCTAATTACAATAATTCATCATTGTTTGATCGCTGCCATCTGCGTTTGTTAATTTTTAATGCTTTCTAAAATATTTTTTTTTAAAATTAAGGAAATAAAAAATATGATGGAGATGTCTTGTGACAAGCTGATTTATTTGCTTATCCATGGAGGTTTAAATTAATACAATTAAATATAGTTGTTCGTATGGCATGAAAAAACAAGAGAGAGAGAGAAATGGGGTTTAACGTCCACTCGACACAAACTAGGTCATTTCGGGACTAACATTTAGTTTTATTTCAATAATTCGCTTGCGCGTAGGGGTCTTTAGCAGTGGGAGGAAACCGGAAGACCCGGAGAAAACCCACGAGGTTGGACAGGCGAATGAAAAAACAAGGCCCTGTGTATACACTGGTGTGCACGTAAAAGAACCTTTGGCAGTTGGAATGGGAAATAAGAGTAGGTCATATATAGCACCGCTGTCCGGGGCAAAATTTCCCTCGTGGCACACTGTATGACATATGCCCATCTTCATTAGACCAGTTGGAGCAGAACAGTAGGACATTAAACCTCATTTCATTTTATTTGTGTTAGCCCAACATGATTAATAGATAGGGGGTTATGTATTTTGATTATTGTTGATTCATATTGTTCATAATTACTGTCATATATTTGTCTTATTGTTAATAAATTACATTATACACTGTTAGGCCTGGAAATAACAGTTTCAGATATACCTGAAAAAATGTCAGGCACTAATGAAATAGTACCTGATATTTTTAACTTATTGCCGGACATGTATTAATAATATCAATAAAAAAGACAAATCAATGCCGGACAAAATGACAGGCAACTGAGGTTTAGTGCCTGACAAAGCCTGAATCTGTGCCTGACATTGTTTGTAACAGGTGCCTTATTATCAGGCTTGTTTAATAGAGATGTTTTAGTTGATTCTTTGATTGAGGCACACCAATGCTATTGGGATAGAGGGATCCCTATATATTAAACCAAAGAGCTTGTACTATAACACAACAGGTTTGGGGTTACCAAATGGTTTAACATGTACGCTTTAGTTTATAAGGTTTGTCATTGAGTCAAGTGGTTACCGAATGGTCTAACATGTACGGCAATACTATATACCGGAAAACACAGAAAAACAACGGAAAACAACAGAAAACACCATTTTATACTGAATACTGGAAAACACCGGAAAAACACTAAATACCAGAAAACACACTAAATACCGGAAAACACCCTAGATAGGTAACTCGGAGACTGGCACCCTAAATAGGTCCTCTGTTTGCCTGGGTTAGGGTTAGTTTCTGGTTTATAGTATAGCCCTTCTTCGGGTTACCTATTTAGGGTGGTTTCCGGTATTTAGTGTGTTTTCCGGTATTTAGTGTTTTTCCGTTGTTTTCCGGTATTCAGTATAACATGGTGTTTTCCGGTAGTTTTCCGGTGTTTTCCAGGTGTTTTCCGGTGTTTTTCGGTGTATAGTATAGCCCTAACATGTACACTATAGTTTATAAGATCTGTCATTGAGTCAAGCGGTGTGGTTTCAATCCCACACTTGTATTTAACACAAAGTAAGCTTGCCTTCCTAACCACATGGGTTTTCTCTGGTTTTCAGACTGCCTTAAACTGCTAATGTTTTCTAAGTGCAAGAGAGAGAGAGAGAGAGAGAGAAATGGGGTTTAACATCCACTCAACACAGACTAGGTCATTTCGAGACTAACATATGGTTTTAATTTTATTTCAATAATTGCTTGCGCGTAGGGGTCTTTAGCAGTGGGAGGAAACCGGAGGACCCGGAGAAAACCCACGAGGTTGTACAGGCGACCCTACTCCTTGTCATGTAAAACCGTGGATTCGAAACCACACCAGTTGACTCAATGACAGACTTTATGATACAGTGCCCGTGTGCTAACCATTTAACCATCCAAACCCCAAATGCAAGAGAACTATTGAAATAAAATTATACTATATAGTAAGTGCAGGAGGACCGCACTACACACAAAACAAAATCTACAAGATAAACCTGCGGACAAGACAGAATATAGACATGGCAAAAAATAAACAAAAATCAAATCACGAGAATGGATCCGGGGGGGAAATATCATTTGTGTCATGTGGACGTTAAACCTCGCTTCTCTCTCCCTCCAATTCCAGTGCAAAAAATACTCTCAATTTGGTACAGATCATGATTATCCAAATAATTAGAAATGTCTGTCGAAACATTCCCAAATATTGTAAAAACATGACTGTCGACAACTTTGAATGCGGATAGAAATTTCCAGAAAATCAGACTTAAAAGTGACATTATCAGTGTTGAGAAAGAAAATAAATTTAACTAGGAAATTTGTGTTAGTAAATAACCTTGTAACCCACATTCCTTTCCATAATTAAGGGCAGACAATTCATTATGGTACGCTTGTTGAAACCTCATGCATGTTAAACAGTGTATTATAGAGACATTAGCATCAAGTGACATTTTTCCAGCTCTTCCATCAGAAAGATCTCGATCAGTAGGGTAGATCAATACCTCATTTCTCTCAAAATAGCTCGCAACACAAATAAAACCGGCACCCTCCTTTCATCCACGTTTACAAGTTCTCACTGACTACGATATTGACTAAGGACAGATTGACTAAACAAATGTATCGATGAAATGAATGACCGAGGAAAGAAAAGGAGTTCAACATTTCGCCAACACATCTTGCATTTTTAAACTAGGGAGAGAATTTTGCCTTGACAGTGGTATTTTCACCAACTTTCTCGAATTTACGGCTTTCTACTACATATACCTGCTAGTATGGTTGATGATGACAAAATTTAAAAAAAAATAGAACTTAAAAACGAGAAAGAGTTTAACAGCCAGTCAACACTATAACAAGGTCCTCTCGGAATTTAACATATGGTTCAATTTTATTTCAATGAGTCGCTTAATCATAGAGGGTCATCTCGAGATTAACATATGGTTCAATTTTATTTCAATAAGTCGCTTAATTATAGAGGGCTTTAGGAGTGGGAGGAAACCGGATGACCAGGAGAAAACTAACAAGATTATGCAGGTGATGCCACTCCTCGTCAAGTATAAGCTTGGGATCGCAACCCTGCTTTCCACCAAACTCAAAAGAAACAGTACAGCTCAAAATATAAATGAAATGAAATGGGATTTAACATCCTACTGTTTTGCTCCGAACTGGGCTAATGAAGACGGGCATACATCATACAGTGTGCTATGAGGGAAATTTTGCCCAGACAGCAGCACTACGGCCTACTTTTATATCGAATTCCAACTGTCAAGGGATCTTTTACGTGCATGCCAATCTGTACAGGGGACCTCGGTTTTTCGTCCCATCCGAACGACTAGACAGCTGTCCTTGTCAGGCCCTCCGTCCTGCATCACTGACAAGGGGGAACCAGGCCGGAATATCTGGATGAACTTTCTCGGCCAATGCAGGGATCGAAAGCTCAAAACATAAAGCAGGACTAAAAGCTTGTTGTTAACTACCATCTGGTGTGAAAGTGAATTGATTTAAATTCAAAAACTTTCCTGGTGGCTTAATTTTTGTCACTACACTATCAGGATCAGTCTTGAAAAAGCTCATTTATTTTTATTGAACCATTTCTACTCGTGTCTCCTGCTAAAATCGAAAAGTTAAGAAGTACTTCAACCTGAATTGCAACCAAGGCTGTAATTAGCTCAGAGCAATGAGGGGGATGGGAAGTGTTCTCAGGGGGACTGTAAAATTGACAGACAATGTATATCTATTTTTTTTTATGGTCGAAAATTTATTTACAGGGCGGGGGGGGGGGGGACTTTTTGCAGGGGGAGCTTTGCCCCCTTCGCCGATGCCCTAGTTACAGGATTCTTTGCATCTGTTATGTTTTACTTCTGCAAAGTGTATGCTTGATAACGTCCAGTGAAACATTGTATGTATATAATATAGTGATAATTATCCATAGAACTGTCAGGTCTGACGAATTATCGGGGGGATGGCCGAATGTTTAGGACATGCACGCTGTATCATAAAGTCTGTCATTGAGTCAACTGGCGTGGTTTCGATTCACCAGTTGTACATGACAAGGAATAGGTTTGCCTGTCTAACCTTGTGGGTTTTCTCCGAGTCCTCCCACTGCTAAAGAACCCTACACACAAGCGATTTATTGAAATAAAACTGAACCATATGTTAGTCCCAAAATGACCTAGTTTGTGTCGAGTGGACGTTAAACCACATCTCTTTTTCTCCCATATGTTCAATCTCTAAATGCCATTCAAAGATTATATATATTCTTTAATTCGCTTTGAATCATATATGCTCTTACACGCTCCCACGTAAAAAAATCATTTTAAAAAACTGACCTTTTGTCTGGCTGTTTGTCGTTGTTTTAAACTTGTAGAAATTCTACCAGCTCCAGGAACACCTACAATCTTACTTCCACCATAAACACTGTCTTTATCTGCAAATAAACAAATATATTATCATCATTTTATAATATCATAAACACTGTCTTTGTACATAATATCATAAACACTGTCTTTGTATATTATATTATAAACAATCTTTGTATATAATATCATAAACACTGTTTTTGTATATTTTATCATAAACATTGTCTTTGTATATCATAAACACTGTCTTTGTACATAATATCATTAACACTGTCTTTGTATATTTGATCATAAACATATAATTTTGTAAACATTATCTTTGTATATTGTATCCTAAACATTGACTTTGTATATACATATCATAAACATTGTCTTTGTATATTTTATCATAAACATTGTCTTTGTACATTATATTATAAACATTGTCTTTGTATATTTTTATTATAAACATTGTCTTTGTATATTTTATTAAAAACATTGTCTTTGTATATTTTTATCATATACACTGTCATATAATATCATAAACACTGTCTTTGTATATTGTATCGTAAACACTGTCTTTGTATATTTTTATCATAAACACTGTCATATAATATCGTAAACACCGTCTTTGTATATTGTATCATAAACACTGTTTATATCTGTAAATAACCCATTAATTTACCGGTATATGAAATATTCTTTTTTATTGATATTATAGAGGCGATGTCCGGTATTTCTAGGTCCTCTGGTTTCCACCCACTGCTATAGACCACCACGCGCAAGCTAATTATTGAAATGAAATTGAACGATATGTTAGTCCCGAAATGACATAGTTTGTGTCATGTGGACGTTGAAGTCTGTGACTGCTTTGTGAACTCGGGGGGCCAGGTCATTTTAGGACTAACATATGATATAATTTTATTTCATTAATTTGCTTGTGTGCTGTGGTGTTTAGCAGTGAAAGTAAACGGGCTTGAGAACGTGACTCTTATCCATGTCACCTAAATGTGCGCGATCAAACCACCCAGTCATCGTTTTTTGAGGCTAGCGATCACACAAGAGTGCCTGCCGCATACCTAAATGTCGACCGAGGGGAGGTTTTTCTCCCTCGCTTTAAAATTGAAAATCGCTCTCCTTATTTGTAAATCATGGACATATGTATTTTTTTTAAAAGAGTGTGAAAGACTCACATTCTGATCGCCACCATGCTGTCATTGTTAACATTTATTTGGTGTATTCGATCAGTGTATAATGTGATCGCACATGGTAATAAAATTTCTGTTGAATATGTTGCTAAAAATAGATGGCACCTACGCATCATTGGTTAATTTAACTGAAATGTAAAGTAGAACTCTCGCAAGATGTCAGAAATTACGAGAGATGGCACGTGAAAATTTTCAACGAAAACAATTCCGGAAGATATAGATTATATTTTGATGGAATTTTCGAGTGTTTATGATTATATTTTGAATATGGATTATGTTTTTAAACAAAAGTTATACAAGCTATAAATATTTAGAAATGTCGACAAGTATTTCTATTGGAATACCGTAAGTAGTTTAAGACGATAGCAAAAGTATGACATGACCGTATGACTAAGAGTGCTATTATTTAGCAGATGATGTTTATTATCATTTATGTAACCAGGAATGACACCTTACACGCAGTTATTGATCTTCAGAACCATTTCCCATACACACAACTAATCACTCTTCTTAATATCAGATTACTCTCCTTAATTCTTAAATCACTTTTCTTATCGAAACTGGGTGAGCTTTTTTAGGGGAGCGATTTTTTCAATTTATTCATTAAGGGGAGCTTTATTCGGATCTCCTCTAAAATACAAAAAATAATGACTTACCACCCCACTTAACTCAATGACAGGCCTTACGATCTAAAGCTCTCGCATTAGACCACTCGACAACAGAAGAAAAAAAAACTTCTTTAATGCAGAAGACCAAAAGCTCCATCCTTTAAAAATATTCCACATCCCAAAAAGTCCTGCCCCAAATTCCCTTTGCATCGCCCCAGCCCTCCCTCAGCAATACGTTACAGTCTGTTTATTCTACACAGCTGTCCGTCATTCTCATGAATACAGTGTATCAATGTATGTATATTAAAGTAGATATAAAGTACAAGTACTTCTATATTTACGGTAGATGAATACATAAATAAATAGGGATAAGGGTCAGACATAGGAAAATGAAATGAAATGGGGTTTAACGTCCTACTGTTCTGCTCAGACTGGGCTAATGAAGACGGGCATACACCATACAGTGTGCTATGAGGGAAATTTTGCCTGGACAGCGGCACTACACGGGACCTCAGTTTTTCGTCCCATCCGAATGATTAGACAGCCGTTCTTGTCAGACCCTCTTTCCTGCATCACTGACAAGGGATTTTGGCTGTTCCCCTATCTCACATTCATTTATAGTGAATAAAATAATTCTTTAAAGAAAATAAAAATAAATAAATAAATAGAAATAGGTCCAGCTAAAAAAAATGAATCACTTTTAAATTTTCATTCTGATATACATCAATTCATAAGCTAGCTGTCTGCTCTTAATTCAATCTGGTTAAAACACAGATCCTATTTCGTTTCGTTTTTATAGTTCAAAATTTCGTTTTACTTGATCTTAACTAAACTCGGATCTGGAAGAGTTGTTATTCAACTCTTGTTCTGAATGGTGTCAGGGATAAGCCAATGAAACGGTCTGCTACGGCGAGCTTTAGGCGTGTTTTTCATGGAACTTCGGGATTATCCACTAGAAACATCAATGCTGATTGGTTAATCAAATGTCTGACTTCAAAAGGGTCATAAGTCTGTCTTTTGACCCCTGACGTGACCTATCGCTATAACTTTTCAGATCTTCATGTAGTGTAGGCCATTGAAAGTATAAAAAAACGAAACGAAATATAGATCTGTATTTTAATCAGATTGCTCTTAATTGAGAATAGGGTTTAACATCCACTCGACACAAACTAGGTCATTTCGGGACTTACACATGGTTCAATTTTATTTCAATAATTCGCTTGCGCGTAGAGGTCTTTAGCAGTGGGAGGAAACCGGAGGACACAGAGAAAACCCACGCGGTTGGACAGGCGACCCTACTCCTTGTCACGTACAACCCGGGAATCGAAACCCCACACCAGTTTACTCAATGACAGACCGTATGATCCCCCCCCCCCAGGTGTTATAACGTATATATCAATATATATATATATATATATATATTCCCCTGTCGTTTGTCAGTGTATACAAAGATCAATTATCGTCTAAAAGCCATTTAATAATCAATTAGTTTGATCTCTGCCTGTGTAATCCTCGTGAAATATCCAAGCCAACCGAGAGTACTTTTCAACAAGACATAACATAATATTTACATGTCTATAAGTCAATAACAAATTGCTCAGATTGGCAAGTTAGTAGTATCTTGGGAACTTTCTCTATTGATTTTCTGTGGTCTGACTGATTTACAAACTCACAAAATGAATCTGTCTGCTAAATCGAAGAAAAAAAAAAGAACGAGGGAGAAAAATGTAGAAAATCGATGAAACAAAACAAAATGCAATGGTCAGCTAATTAGAAAGTTATCCTTTCTAATAACGGATGAAATTGCTACCTGAACCAATTAATGAACATGAAATAAAATGGGGTTTATCGTTCTACTGTTCTGCTCAGACTTGGCTAATGAAGTTGGGCATAGGCCATACAGTGTGCTATGAGGGAAATTTTGCCCAGGCAGCAGTGCAACGGCCTAATCTTATATTGAATTCCAACTGCCAAGGGATCTTTTACATGCACGCCATGTGAACACAAGACCTTGTTTTTTGTCCAAACCGAATGACTATACGTTGTCCCTCACCAGCCCTCCATCCTTTCTATACTAATGTCCAAAAGAAAGTATACACTGTGCATTTTGTCCTGCTTCAAACAAAGTCGTTTTTCCATTGTATGCTGTAATTGGGCACAATGTCTATTTGTTTTGCCTTTTATTTGCTTAGAAATGTTAAGTTTGGACGCACAAGACATGTTCAGTGTAGTTTTATCACATTTTTTTGATTTTAACAAAACTTAAGTCATATTTTTAGTGTGGATACTTTCTTTGTGCGTTACTATACTAATGGTATAGTAACGCACAAAATTGCTACCTGAACCACTTAATGAACTTAAAGATAAGATCAGGACCCAGGAGACAAACACACATACAAGGGTTGACAAGGAACATTGTCTAAATGTTCAGATGAGATGAAAGAGAGAGAGAGATGGGGTTTAATGTCCACTTAACACAAACCAGGTCAATTCGGAACTAACATATGGTTTAATTATATTTCAATAATTCATTTGCACGTAGGGGTCTTTAGCAGTGGGAGGAAACCGGGAGACCCAGAGAAAACCCACGAGGTTAGACAGGCATCCCTACTCCTTGTCATGTACAACTGGGGAATCGAATCCATGCCAGTTGACTAAATGATAGATCTTATAATACAGCGCTCGTGCTCACTATTCGGCCATCTGCCACCCCCCCCCCCCCACCCTGCCAGATGAGACAAAAAAACCAAGGTCCTGTAGAAAAGTATGATGTTAAACCTCATTTCATTTCATTTCCTATTCCAATCTGAGACTGTTTGGAACACAGAAGAATTTTACCCAGAGGCAAAACTATTCATTCCATGCTCATAATAAAACTGCTCCATCTTGGCTTCAATAATCTCAAGGAATGTTTATTTCACGATAACACGCTTCAAACTTCAAAACAGGAAGTGTTTATCTACAACGAAACTGAAAATAAGCACGATTTTTCTTGAGCGCTTTAGTACTTAACATACCACATCACAATTGTTAGCTCGTTTTTATTTCTAGTAAAATTCACGATCAAAACATATTCAATAATATGGAAATGAAATGAAATGGGGTTTAACATCCTGCTGTTTTGCTCCAACTGGGCTAATGAAAATGGGCATATACGCCAGACAGTGTGCTATGAGGAAAATATTGCCCGAACAGCGGCACTATAGTCTACTCTTATATCGAATTCCAACTGTCAAGGGATTTTTTATGTGCACGCCAATGTATCATTCGAAC